TGGATAGAAGGATAGATGGAAAGGATTGAATGAGTTGGACCTTGATTGAATTCTAGGAACTATAAGTTGAATCAAGGTGTGGTGGCAGGGGAACACCACCAAACCAATGTAAAATATTAAATGCTCTAATGCAGAAAAGCTATTTAATTTTATGTTCAAAGTGAAGTTTTGTGTGATTCAGTGTGGTTCTATCTGAGATCATTACATTTTATCTGACATATTCTGGATTTAAAAATATGCGTAATGATACTGTGTAGGTAAAAATCATAAGTGCCACTCATTAAAAACCCATAGTTGCCCTAGCCTGTTTTGCTCAGTGGATAGAGAGTCGGCCCAAGGACTGGAGGATCCTGGCTTTGATTCCAGTCAAGGGCACATGCCTGGGATGTGGCCTTAATCTCCACAGTCAATCAGTGGTTCTCTCTCATCATTGATGCTTCTATCTCTCTCTCTCCCTCTCCTTTTCTCCCTATGAATCACTAGAAGTATATTTAAAAAACAACAACAATAATAAAAAAAAAACAGTGTTTGCAAGTCATCTTGACAGATGCTTCAAATAAAACACCTATTCCTAAAGTCCTAAAAGATATTGCTTATCACACTCAGTTGGCAGTGGGTGAGTGTAGCATATGGTGATACTCACAAGCAGATAAGTGACAGAACTAGACAAGACCCTGGGTGTGAATTCACCCAGGACACACACTGTCCCACCTTTACAACCATGACACAGATGTTGTATACTTATGTTCACGTTTCTTCTCAGTGCTCCAAAATATATCTCAGGAAATTAAAAAAAAAATGTTTTGTGCTCCATGTGGTGCACTGGAATGCATAGCCAGAGCACTAAGCATGAGACCATTGGGATACTTGAATCATGAAAGGCAGGAGATAATATTCAGTGATAGTATGATCAGGCAAGATGGGACCTTACAAAATTACCTGGCTTGGCCTGTCTCTTATCATTAGGAAATGTTTAGGAACAGAAGTTCATAAAAGGCCAAGTCTGGGTCCTAGAAAGAAGCAAGAGAAGATCCTGGGTTGTATGTGTGTGTTGTTGCTTTTGTCAGTGAGCCCGCCATCTGCCCTGGGTCCTCTGCTTGGTCCCTCAGCCTCCCCATCTCACATCACTCCTGGACACAGACCTGTTTTGTGTGAGACCTTGCAGTAGGCTGGTTAGTCAAGAGTTTTCAGGGATGTGGCATTCCTGGGGAAGCCTTTCCTTAAAGAGACAGGAGCCCAGATGAAGACCCAGATGAAAGACCTGCAGACCCTTCCCACATCTGCTGTTAGAGCCCCCTGTGGGGCTATTTACTAGGACAGGGACACCCTAGAAAGGTCAGGGTCCTGGCTAAGGGCTGGGGCCCAGGGCAGTGCCACAGGTCCTGAGAGGAATGCAGGTGACAATCCCTGTGAGAGGCAGGCTGCTTCCACCCTACCCCACAGGGGGCGCCAGAGATCCCGCCAGCAGTCAGCCTAGAGAGGCCCTGTCCCTTTAACTGAGGGGCATTGTGTCAGCTCTCTCCTGGCGTGCCCTGGGAAGGGAGACTTTACCTCAGGGGTCAGGGCCCTGAGGGAGAAAGGACAGGAGGCCCTGGCTATAGCTCCAGTCAAGGTGAGGAAGGGAAAGAAGAGTGAATGCACCCACCTTCTGCGAGGCCCCGCCCCTCTCCATTGCCCCTCCTTTCCCTCCCCGTAGCCCCTCCTTTCCCTTCCTGTAGCCCCGCCCCTATCCAGTGCCCCTCCCCTCCCAATAGCCTCGCCCTATGATAGCCCCACCCTCCGGTAGCCCCACCCTCCGGTAGCCCCACCCTCCCATTGCCCCGCCCCATCCATTGCCCCTCCCCTCCCCATAGCCCCGCCCTCCAGTAGCCCGCCCTCCGGTAGCCCCGCCCCTCCCTGCTGTGCTCCAGCTCTGCCCCTGCACTGAGTCCTGGGGGACCCTGGGCACAGCGCTCAGGCTGAGGGCTGTGGCTGCAAAGCCTCTCAGAAGGTGGGAGCCCTGACATGCGGGGACCGCCCAGGTCAGCAGGGGACAGTGAGTGACACCCCTCCAGAGCCCAGGTGAGGGAAATGGGGAGAAACTCCGCCCATGGCTGCTCAAGGCTCCCTGAGCACCCAAAATGGCGGCCGTGGGGGGGCGACCTCATGCCCCCCTGGGTGGATCGGACACTGAGGGCCTTGGTCTGAGGGAGGGGACCGCGTCCTGGAGGAAGTCAGGGGGGGCATGGGAGGGTCCCCAGGGGCCGCTCACCCCTCATGAGGAGGCCGGGACCCTGCCTCAGCCCTCCACCCTGAGAGACCGGGCAGGGAGCTCACAGGACACTTCTGGGAGCAAACCACAGGGTCTGAGGCCTTGGTCTGAGGGGAGGGCACCGTGTCCTGGAGGAAGTCAGGGGGACATCGGAGGGCCCACAGGGGCTGCCCACCCCTCATGAGGAGGCCGGGACCCCGCCTCGGGGAGGCCGGCAGGAGGCTGACATGTTGCCTCTGGGAGCAAATCACGGGGTGTGAGGCCTTGGTCTGAGGGAGGGGACCGGGCCTGGAGGAAGTCAGGGGGGGCATCGGAGGGTCCCCAGGGGCCGCTCACCCCTCATGAGGAGGCCGGGACCCCGCCTCGGGGAGGCCGGCAGGAGGCTGACATGATGCCTCTGGCAGCAAATCACGGGGTGTGAGGCTTTGGTCTGAGGGAGGGGACCGGGCCTGGAGGAAGTTGGGGGGGGGGGGCATCGGAGGGTCCCAAGGGGCCGCTCACCCCTCATGAGGTGGCTGGTACCTTGCCGCTGCCCTCCACCTGGGAGGGAGGCAGGAGGCTGTCAGACCGCCTCTGGGAGCAAACCACAGTGTGTGAGGCCTTGGTCTGAGGGGAGGGCACCGTGTCCTGGAGGTAGTAAGGGTGTGACGTCAGAGGATCCCCAGGGGCTGCCCCTAGGACCTTGTGCTGCCCTCCACCTGGGAGGCCAGACAGCGAGGCTGACAGGCCGCCTCTGTAGCAAGAAGGAGAGGGTGAGGCCTTGGTCTAAGGCAGGGGACCGGGCCTTTGGAAACCAGGCTCAGAAGCCTGAGGTCCCCCAGGGGCCGCCCGCCCCTCATGAGGAGGCAGGGACCTTGCCGCTGCCCTCCACCTGGGAGGCCGGGCAGCGAGGCTGACAGGCCAACTCTGTAGCCAGACAGAGAGAGTGAGGCCTTGGTCTGAGGGAGGGCCCTCAAGTGAGGAAGCACCCAGGTGGGGCGGGGGGCGGGGGGTGGGCCTCTGTGTGGACCCAGGGGTCCCCATCCCACTGCTGGACCAGAATGCCAGGAGGTTTCCAGAAAAGATGGCTGCAGCTCCTCTTCTCCTTGGGTGTCCTGCAAGCTGGGTTGGGGGTGAGGGGATGGAGCTGCTGGGTAGGATTGACGGCTTTCATTTATGATGGAAGGTTTGCCATCACCAGGAGGCTGATATCAGGTGTTTCTAGGAGTTTAAGGGGACATCTCCCTGGACCATCATATCTAAGCGAACACCCATGACCATAGTTCGAGAACCGTATTCTCAGCCTTGGAGCATATGGGCAGGTGGGGTGACTCTCATCCTCATGGAAGGGCAGTCTCAGGAAAAACTGGAAGGAGAGAGGAGACCCAGGCTACTATACCAATAGTCAAATGAAATATTGAGGGCCCCACCCATCATCCTATATAATGAAACTAATATGCAAATTGTCCTCTCCACTGGGAGTTTCACAGGGAATTTTCCCAGAGGGCAGGGGTGGCCTGAAAATGCCAAGCCCCACCCCAGCCATTTCTGCCCCAGATGTACTACTCTCACCATGATCAGAAGTGGAGGCAGCCTGCCAACTTCCCTCAGCCCCCCCCCCCGGCCCCACCCCAGCCATTTCTGCCCCAGATGTACTACTCTCACCATGATCAGAAGTGGAGGCAGCCTGCCAACTTCCCTCAGCTCCCCCCCCCCCCCCGACCCTCAATGGCCCCTAACTCTGTCTGGCCTCACCCCCAATTGTCACCTACACCTTGATCCCTGCTGAGGACTGCCAGCCAACTGCCCTTGGCCTCTCCCCCAGGGAGCCCTGCCTGATCTTGGGGTGGTCCCACAGGAATGAACTCATGCTCAAATTTGTGCCTGGGCCTATGATTGAATAAGATAAGAATCCTGAGCCCCACCTTTGCATTCAGTTCAGGGTAGGCCTGCCAAAGTTAGACTCACTTATTTCTATCCAATGTTAACAGAAAAGAGGCATCAGTGAAGGTGCAGCCACCAGTCAGCAGAAGAGTGAAGTTCCAGCCACCACCTGGAGAGCAGGTGAGACCCTGCACGAGTATTCAAGGACCCAAGCAGCCAGTGAAGGAGACCTTGGGTTCTCAGAGAGCTGCTAGCTTTGGTTTGAGGTGTCAATTTCACAGGAGCAGAATAGAGGAGGCCCAGGACCTGCCAATATTTGACATGATGATTCTGGTAGTTAACTGAGAAGTTTCCGAACCTAGGGTGTCAGCAAACTCATTAGTCAACAGCGCCAAATATCAATAGTACAATTTTCTTTTGAGAGCCTAAAACCTACTTCTGTGCATGGGCCATGAAGTTTCAATCACACTGTACCTGCATGCCCGCAATTGGTATTTTGTGGAAGAGCCACACTCAAGAGGCCATAAAGCCACATGTGCCTCTCGAGCTGCAGTTTGCCAACCACTGCCCTAGGCTCCCCACTGTAAATCCTTCTGCTGTCAGGCCTGTATCCCCTAGGAAGGGCTGCCACAATGTAGTCTAAGGACCCTTTCAAGTGCCTCTCCAGGTATCTCAAGGAACAGGTGGATCTGAATGGAAGCACAGTGGGTTGCTAGAAAAGTGCCCTCCAGGAAACCTGGAGAGGCAGCCTTAGCTAAAGCCAAGGTAGAATCCATCTCACCACTGACTGAAGGCACTCACATGATCTCCTTCTACTTTATCCAGGTATCCTCATCTCCTGATTTCCTGTCCAGACTTCTGCCTGTTGTTCCTGACTACTGACATCATGCCAGGTCGTCACAAGAGCAAAAAATGCCACCAGGCCCAAATTGAGCCTCAGAGTTGTGGCAATGCTCAGGCCACTGCAGCAGCAGCAAAAGAGTTCCCTCCTTCCTTCTCTACTCAGTGTGAAGGTATTAGCCAGGGTCTGCCTGTGGGTGGGTCATTGAACATTTCCCAGGGTCCTCAATGCTCACCAACCACCCCCAACTCTTTTGTAGCTATTGCTGGCCCTGAATCTGATAAAGCTTCCAGCAGCCAAGGTGAGGATGAGGCTGACTCCTTTGCGGCCCCACTCTCAGTGGAGGATGATTTTGAAAAAAGGACTGAGGCTTTGGAGCTATTCTTTCTGTCAATGTATGAGGTGAAAAAGCCCATTCAGAAGAAAGATGTGCTGCGTTTTGTCGGGGAAGATTACCAAGACCGATTTTGTGAGATGCTCAAGAAAGCCTCTGATGAATTGGAAATCATCTTTGCATTATACATCAATGAAGTCGACTCAAAAAATAACTCCTATGCCCTTGTCAGCAAGCTGAAACTCCCCAATAATGGGAGGGTGCGTCCTGGCAAGGGGTTCCCCAAGACAGGCTTCCTGATGCATATCCTGAGTTTGATCTTCATGAATGGCAACTGCGTCTCTGAAGAAGTCATCTGGAATGATCTGCGTGGAAAGCAAGTGTACCCTGGGAGGAAGCACTGCATCATTGGGGATCCCAAGAAACTCCTCACCGATTTCGTGAAGTTCAAGTACCTGGAGTGCCACCAGGTGCCCCACAGTGATCCTCCACGCTCTGAGTTTTTGTGGGGTCCAAAAGCACACCTTGAAACCAGCAAGATGGAAGTGCTGGAGTTTTTTGCAAAGGTTAATGGTACCCACGTCAGGGCCTACCCATGGCATTATGAAGACGCTTTGAGAGATAAGTTAGAGAGAGCCCGAGCCAGAGAAGCAGCCAGGGCTGCCACTACTGCCCAAATCAGAGCATCTCTCAGGGCCATGGCCAGTACAACCTTTCCACCCATAGAGAAATCTAAAGCTTGTTGTCCTTCACACCAGAATGTATAACATCACAATAGGGATAATATTCTTGGAAGTGTATAAGAATCCTTATTCTAGTTGTTTAGATAATAGAATAGAAATAAAAAAGCATGAGTATTCTTAGTTTTCCTTGTTCCTTTTCATCTCTAGTTTTTTTTTTAAAATGTTTTTTATTGATTTTGTACAGAGAGTAAGGGAGAGAGATAGAGAGTTAGAAACATCGATAAGAGAGAGTCATAGATCAGCTGCCTCTTGCACACCCCCTACTGGGGATATGCCAGCAACCAAGGTACTTACCCTTGACCTGAATCAAACCCAGGACATTTCAGTCCCCAAGCCAACACTCTATCCATTGATCCAAACCGGTTTTGGCTCATCTCTAGTTTTGTAAAATTAACTGAGATATACTGTGATACTTTAAGTTTATTGAAGAAGTTGGAGAAAATAAATCTTAATAAATTAGATCTTGTGTTTGCTTGCTCTTTTAACCACTGCACACTGAGTCTTATATTGGGGAGTCTCCTAATTAGGATTGAGGAGACTAAAGGAAATGCAGCCTTTTCTCATATAATTTTATAGCCTGCAAGTTGCATTCATATGAAGAAGATGTTGAAGCATCCCATAGGACCAAGAGGTAAGGTAAAAAGAATGGATGAGGAAGAGGGTATTCCTTGTGAGAGCAGTTAGGCAGAAATTTCCTGAGAAGGCAGTTTTGGGATTTAGGTAACTGTAAGTCCTTAGTGGGTTGTAATTTTCATTTATGCTACATGGTGGGCCAATGAAGGTTGTGGAAATGGTGAGCAGAGTCCTGACCTTCCTATGTTGTTCTTGAGAATTGGGAGACAAAGGGTGAGTTAGTTTGCTCTGTCTGCTCTAACAAAATACCACAGCCTGGTAGCTTAAACGTTTTCACAGTTTGTGGCCTGGGGAATTCACAGTCAATGCGCTGGTGGATTCAAGTGAGAGCTCTCTTACTTGCTTGCAGATGGCCTCCTTCTCCCAGGGTCCTGGCCAGGTAGAGAGAAGGCTCTCATCTCCCTTGTGCTTCTTATAAGAACACTAATGGAATCTTGGACACCATGTCCTCATGACATCTACAAAATCTAAGTACTCCCCCAAATCTCCATTTCTAAACACCATTACACTTTGGGTTAGGGCTTCTACATGCGATTTGGGTGATGGGGAAGGGGACACCATCATTTGTCTCTAAATGACAACTGCTGCTACAAGTTACTTTGGCACTCTGGGTAAACTAGAGAGAAATCTCCTGGGTCAGGATAAGAAGGTACCCTTTGTTCTTGTCATAGTGCAGGTGGACATAATGAATACCCTTCAGCAAACTCGGTGTTCTATGCGCATCATCTCCTGGCAGTTGCTGAGATAGAGATGACATTCCTTGAGGTGAGATGCCAAGAAGCCACTGTGCTTTACCCTGAGTTGGACAAGGAGAACCTGCTCACTTAAATGGGTATTTCACTTGGGTTAGCTTGAGGGGATTTGGCAAATTCTATTAATAAATGAGGGCTAGCTTTTGTCCATGGTGTGATGAATGTAAACAGAGGTGTTGTGGATGGAAGGGCAACTGGCAGGGATGCAGGGACTTGCTCCTTGACAACAATTCTAGTAACTTGAGGTGCATCCAGCTGGGGAAGGCAACTGCACCCTGAATTAAATGAGAAGCACTCTAATGTGGAAATTTTACTTAGTTTTATTAGCTAAGGAGCATTTTTGATTCATTGAATGTTTTTTGTCTGACGTAATTACATCTTCTGTGACATGTCCTGGATTCAACAATAATCTAAAGGAGATGGGTGGGATCATTTGCAATCAAAATAGTACTCTTAACTGCCATTTAAAAAAATATGGGGCAATATTTGCTAGCCATCTTGCCATGTGGTTGATATGTTTGTTTTCCAAGCTAAGCCAACACCTGGGGATTTATCTAAAGAAAATTCTCCCTGACATAATTGGATGCAATTTGTGCATGAAGGACAATATGCAACTAATATTGGCAGCAGCAAGTAACATAGAACGCTGTCACTATTGAAAAAGCCTGTGTTTATGTGCTTATTGTTCAAGCTCTTATAAAGCCACTGTGCTACTTAAAACATTGTAATTTTCCCTTGCTGTCGCTAATTCCACATAGTGATTGAGATTGTGATTTTTAAAATGTAATTGATTTGTAGGCAAACAATGCAAAAAGAAACAGATTTCCCTACAGAAGCTCTTATTCCACACAAAATTTCTAGAGGTAAAATGTATCTTTCACAAAATAAATACCAGGTAAACAGGATTGTGATTGATGATTTCTTAATTCTTCTCTCCTGTAAATATTGCTACTTTCCCAGTTGTTAACTACATCTCTCATGCTCATTTTCTGGTCTCAGAGTCCTTTAATTTTAAAGTTCTCATTCAAAAATTGTCCTCCAATCAAAGGAATGAAATATTTTGTTCATGTTGATACAATCTCATATTCTTTGATTCCTCATGATTTTCTCCTATGGCATGAGCAGTTGCATAATATTTTCTTTCTTAAAAGAGTTATATTTACTCTTATCCAGTTAGTATTTTATTTCTTTGTCTTTTCCAACCAGGGCCCTTTTTCAGTGCCTCATTAATCTCCACATTTAACCAAAGATGGTTGTATAGATTTCTTTGTAATAGATGATATGTACATATTACTTTGCAATGTAATTCTCATGTTTACCTCTTTTTTAAAATGTGTCCACATTTACCATAGAACTTTAAAACAAATGAATAAACACCAGTATTTTTCCAGTATTTTCCACTTGAAGACCATGAGCAAGGATAGCAAACTGAAGCTCCCCCAATACTTACTATACTTGGTCTATGAGAGGTGAAGTCCTTATTTTGAAGGTGTAGCCAATATCCAATTAAAGGGCTAGGGACACAGGCAAGATATGAAGCCAAATGAGGACTTTTATTGAGGAATGAGGACACCCAAAGCAACCAGGACAGAAACCCACCACTGAACAGTCGACACAGGGAATACCTGCACTAATTTGGTGAGTTGAAGGCCCCATTTGCTTCATTCTTATTGGTCCCATCGCATGCCACCAGTTGAATGGTGCTCTTGGATGTGAAATAACAGACTCCTCAAACTCAAATACTGCCAGACCCTACATTCACCTTATTATGCCTGAGGCAGGACTGGCAAGATGCAGCCCAATGTTTTTCCAAAGCACATGAAGGTTTTTAAAGAGGTGCCTTTGAGGGGAATTGCAGATGCAGCCTTCCTTCCAATAAAGGTGTCACTCCTATGCCAAAGCTGTACATATATTCTTGACCTTCATTCTCCAGGAGCTCTCATTACCTCTCTTTTGAGTACCCTCCTGACCTTTTTCTCTGACCATAGTCATCATGCCTCAGAGGCACAAGACTAAGTGCTACAACAGTCAGAATCAATAAGCTTCCCAAGAGTAAGCTCAGAGCCTCAAGATATTGGAGGCAGCTGACACAATAGAAAAAAATGCCCCTCCCCCGCTCCCCCCCATTCTCATCTTCTGGTTTGGAGCTTTATCCTCAGAGCTCATCAGCTACTGATCTAACTGGTACTTTCCCTGGCATCTTGGAGAGCTCCAAAAACCTCTATTGCTCTTCAGGCTCATTTCACTCAATATCTGAGAACAGCCTAGATGAGACACATTCATGTTCCTCTGAGGCCCTATCTCCAGAGAACACATGCTGTGACCCTCTAATTATGGAGGTGACTACCTTGAAGAACTTTATCTTGTAAAATTATAGAGTGAAGCAGCCCATTCTACAGGGAGACCTGCTAACTAACCATTGTTGACCAAAAGTAATGCCAACAATTTGTGGAGAATAATGAACAACCTAAACTGATGAACACAAACAGACCTGGAGACAAGGAAACATTGATCAGGCTGTCAAACCTCAGAGGGAAGGTAGGGAGGGTGGGTGTAAGGGGAAGAGTTCAACCAAAGGACTTGTATGCATGCATATAAGCCTAACCAGTGGTCACGGACAACGAGGGGGTGGGGACATGCGTGGGGAAGGTTTTGGGGTGGAAATGGGGGGGGGTGAAAAAAATATGTGATACCTTAATCAATAAAGAAATTTTAAAATAAATGAATGAAAAAATAAAGAAAGAAAGCCTCTGACAGCATTGAGGATCTCTTTGTGGTTGGCATGAGGGAAATGGACTCAACAAAAGCTCCCTGTGAACTTGCCAGCAAACTGAAACTCCCCAATAAGGGGAAGGTGCATGGTGGCATGGTGTTACCCAAGACTGGTCGCTTTATTGAATATCTTGGGTGTGATCTTCATGAATGGCAACTGTGCCAGTGAAGAAGAGGTCTGGAAGTTCCTGAATGCCATGCAAGTGTTCTCTGGGAGGAAACACTACATCTATGGGGAACCTAGGAAGCTTATCACCGAAGATCTAGTCAAGCTAGAGTACCTGGAGTACAGCCAGGTGCCCAACACTGCTCTGCCATGCAATGAGGTCTCTTATTGTCCCAAAGCTTACAAAGCAACAACCAAAAGGAAAATCCTGGAATTTTGGGCCCAGCTCAACAATTGCATAACAAGTGTCTTCCCTTCACAATAAGAAGAAGCTTTGAGGGAGGAGGTAGAAAGAGCACAAGACAGATGGGCAGCCAGGATTGGCACTGGTACCACGAGCCGGAAATGTTCCATGGCCTGGTCCACTATTTTCTCCACAACTAGTAAAATATGAGGAATAATTGTTGTCATGGAGATATATATATAGCATCATGATCAAATCTTGGGTGGGCATAGGATAGAATCCAACAGTACAATTGTTGGAACAATAAAATAGAAAAAAATGCATTATCAACTCTGATTCTCCTTCCTCTTTTCCATCTTTACTTTTATAAAATTAATTGCTTTATACCTCAATATGCTTAGCTTATTAAAGGATGAAGTATATAGTAACTCTTAAGATTTTGTCCTTGGGACTTGTGAGCAAAAGCCAGACATTCAGGTGAGTTGTCTGAGTTGAGAGAGGAAATATTTGCATGGCT